ACTTAGTCAACAGCTCAAGCCGAGTTATCATCACTGTTTGCTCAATCTCCTTATTTCACATTTAAATAGAATTATACCTATGACGAAGAGATAATCATGAGTCTTTCTCTGTTTCCCTTTTCTATAGTCAGATCTTTGTGCCCTAAGAAAATAATCAATGTGCTCCCATAAACAGACTGCCAAGGATGGTTCTTGAAGTTTCAAAGAAGATGCTCACAGAACCTAGCAGGAACCTTGTGGCTGCTCTTGTGGAACAAGAAGCTGGGTGGTTATTACTATCATCACTATTAAGTTCTATGCTTAAAGAGGTAAACATCTGTTGTTCCTGCATCTTCATATGGTGTAAACATTACCTGTTTCTTATTATTTATTTGGTTTTATGTAGGAACTTGAAGATCAGGTTTTTGATATTCTTGGATTGTGGGCTGATGTTTTTACTGGAAACCCAGAACATGTAATTAAGCAGTGCAAGGACTTAATATCTACCATATGGTAAGACAATATACATGGTTAGGCTATATGGTATTGTCTTCATGGCCAATACTTCATGGTAATAATTAGCAGTAGTTTTCTGTTAGTTTTGGTCGTAAACTCATCAGAGAAGCATTAGTAAAAATTCTGCCAGCCAATTGATGATATTTTTATTCTCCTGTTGAGCCAAATTTAGCTGCTTGGTATCTTTATTTGGCAGTTTCTATTGGGTAGAAACTGAAAGAATAACTAAACTATAATAATAAAAAAGACTAGGATCTACCTGCAGAGGTGACTTTTTTTGCTGGGTTGTGGGTTTTTGGGTTTGAGGAAAATGAACCTCTGTGAGGATTAATGCAGGGTACCTCATTGTCTGTCTTGCAAGGAGATTGCAAACTGGTTCTATATTGACTGTTATTTTTCTTTTTTGTTTTTTTTTTTGTTTAGGAGTATCTCTTGTCCTTTATCAATATATTTTTGTCTTTTCTCCCTAATAATATTCTTTTTTCATAAAAAAGAAATAATGAACCTTTAGATGGAGAGTGGTACTCTCTGTTAAATAAATGAAGACCTTTTCTCAACCTCTTATTTAATGTCAAATATTTTGCTTGTAAATGAATGTTAGTGTTTGAACCAGCTTTTACATATCTTGTTAGTTGTCCACTTGCTGCATTATTGGTATAAGAAAAAACACTGAAACAAAGGTTACTGTAATAGCTGTTGTTTATCATGGTGTATTTGAAAGAGATTCCCCCTTTAGTTCCTAGTCTAGTGCTTTGTCATAGTAGAACTCAATTGAGTATCTGGTAGTTACCTGTTTTCATATTTAATTTCTGCGTCAACAAACAGTATTTATTGTTGACAAAGAGAAATTTTCACTTCTTGGCATAAAATAGAGTTTTTTCCTCATTTTCTCCCTCTGTTGTAGTGTGTGGTCTGCTGCAGTTCATGCACTTACAGAATTTGTACGGCGTTTTGTCTCTTCCGACGTTGTGAACAATGGCATCTTACTGCAACCAGTTATTGTATACCTAAATAGGTATCATATATTGTAGATTCCTTTTCAAGAACAACTCTTTCTTTCTGTTGAATTGATTTTCTTTCATGTTTTCTATTTGAGTTTTGATCTAGTGTTTCGTATATAAACATATTCATTTATATGGAAAAAGTTATTAACATATAGCAAAAAGCAGGGCTTTATCTTATGTATCAGTTATAGCAGCCAAACAACCACCAAATATCAAGTCTGCAGTGGACATATTCATCATCAGAATATTAATTGCTTATCAATCACTCCCAGATCCTATGGCATACAAGAGTGACCATCCTCAGATTATTCAATTATGCACAACACCATACAGGTATGATATGTTGCCATGCTGCCGTCTTGCCAAGGTTTTTCTTTATTGCCACTCTGCTATATGAACAGTTTTACTTGGTGTCTATATATATAAAATTCATGGATTAATTTGGATTTTTCTTCCTGCTGCTAAAATGGAAGGGATGCCTCTGGATGTGAGGAGAGCTCCTGTTTAAGGTTGCTATTGGACAAAAGGGATGTGTGGTTAGGCCCTTGGACTCCTGGAAGGTGTCTAAACTTTCTATTTCTGGCCTTTTCTTTATTATTAAATGTAACAGTAATTCT